CGGAATGACCGAGATCGAAAAGACTGCCGCGCCACGCACTGCTTAAGAGCGAGGCAGAACGAGTGAGGGTGGAAAACGCACGGATTTCTGCGGCTGGATGTTCGTTTCATGACAAGGCACGCACCTGCCTGTCTTGCAGGTGCACTTTCGGTGCATGATGTCCCGTTTAGGTGGCTCGTGGCATCGAAGATGACACTGCACTGCCCAGGAGGTCTTTGGGTTTGAGTTCCGACGGTGACAAAAGCTACACAGCAAGGGCGATTTCAACCGCTGTCTGAAGACCAACTCTAGTGGCCGGCTTCTCTGATCAACACCACCGAATGCCGGGGCAGTATCCTAACAAACTCGCCACCCGCCATGCACCGCCTGCGATCTTTCTTTCCTTATCCTATCCTCGCCCTTCCTCACACTACCAAACGTCCAGGGAGACGAGTTGGGAGCTTCGAGCTTACCCCGGCAGAGTCGGAGCCTTGCTAAAGGGAGACTGACGTTTAGGGAAATCCATTTAACCCGACATGTAGATCAGAGCCAGATCTTGCCATTCATCAGGGAAGATCATCTTCACGTCACAATGCAAACATGTACTGCTCTTGTAGGTCTAATGGCATTACCAGTTGGCACGTCCGGAAGCTTTAATCAATCAAACAATCGATTTTTTAAAACAATTGCTGACAACTTATAAGTATATATTGACACTATTATTTTTTTGCGTTATAGCACCAAACTAATAATTATGAGTTATAAAGATTGTTACTTCTGAGACGAAAAGACAGTTACAGTTAGTTAACATTCTGACACCGATATATTTTAAAAATATATTATATTTGAGACTTATATAATACATTATATTCAGACTTTGATATATTTGCTTAAATATATCAAAGTCTGCCAAGCCATGGCAATTAAATGAAACTTCAACGGACACCGAAGTATTTTCTGCTAATTTAAGTATTTAGATTTTTACTTTTTTACGATATTCAAATTAATGGTTTTATAATTTGTTCAAAAATAATGACAAACCAAATAAAGACTGATATAATTTTTGTTAAGAAATATTGGAATGCATTTGTCTCTGTTTTTGTTAGTTTGAGAAACATTTTCATATAAATAAATTATATTAAACCATTATGTACAGACGAATAGTCTCCATTTTACTTTCTTTTATTGTGTTGCAGTTTGTGTATATCTACGACATTTTACTCGCATTTAATTTTTAGTGCTTGGCATTGTTTGTGGTAGAATAAGAAACGCGGCTAATTTTCTTGGGGATGAAGAAATCGCTTATAAGGAATGATTGATGAGTTTTATTAGGAATAATGTGAGAAAGATCTGTGGATTTAATTTATTTAACATGCAAGTAACTGAAGGTCAAAAAGTTGCAGCTAATGGCAGTGTTTAAATTACTGTTGTTAAAATAGTATCTACCTATATGAATCTTTACGATTACATTACTGAAAGAAAGAACTGAAGACAACTGGGAAGTAATGCACATGATTGATACGGAAAAATAAATACCCCCAAAATAGTTTTTTTTTCTCTCGTTCTGTACTTGCTTTCGAAATCCAAT